AAAAAAAAAAAAAAAAGAAAGAAATTCTTATATAGAAAGCAACTCACAAACAGTTTAGAAGACTTAAACTGTGCTCACTTTGGCAACACATATACTAAAATTGGGACGACACAGAGAAGTTTAACATGGTTCCTGTGCAAGGATGACACGAAAATTAATGAAGGGTTCCAATTTTATTTTAAAAAATTAACCTGTGATAGTTATAATGATCCCTTCTCATATATGTGCATCAGGGGTTTTCTCAGTAATTGTTTTCATCACTGGAAGTAAAATCTGCATGCAGAGACTGTGTGTGTTACTTTACGCATTCGCATGAATGAATTCATTCATCGAGTGATTCTGGAGCTCCTGCCATGCTCCAAGCTCTGTGTGAACATACAGAGCTCGGAACATACAGAGTTAGCCGCTGCCTGCAAGGGTCTCACAGCCATGAAGTGAGAAGTGAGTCACACTCCAGTGGGACGTGGGCAAAGATTTCCTAAACGGACACTAGAAGTATTGACCATAAAAGAAGATAGATGAATGGAGCTGAATTAAAATCAGTACTTTCTCTTCATGAAGAGACATAATTAAGGCCGGGCGTGGTGGCTCACACCTGTAATCCCAGCACTTTGAGAGGCTCAGGTGGGTGGATCACGAGGTCAACAGATCAAGACCAGCCTGTCCAACATGGTGAAACCCCGTCTCTACTAAAAATACAAAACTTAGCTGAGTGTGGCAGCCCATGCCTGTAATCCCAGCTACTCGGCAGGCTGAGGCAGGAGAATCGCTTGAACCTGGGAGATGGAGGTTGCAGCGAGCCAAGATCGTGGCACTGCACTCTAGCCTGATGGCAGAGCTAGACTGCCTCAAAAAAAAATAAAATAAAATAAAAAAATAAAATAAAAAAAAAGACATAATAAAGAGAGTAAAAAGTCAAACCACAAACTGGGGGAAAACATTCACAATAAGTTTACCTGATAAAGGTCTCATACCTAGAATTATAATGAACTAGAAAATAGTAAGAAAAAAAGATAACCAAAAATGGGCAAAAACCATGGACAGGAACTTCTCAAAGAGGATCTTCAAATGGCTAATACATATATGAAAAGGTGCTTACTCATCAAGAAGATGCAAATTCAAACACAAGGAGATTACATTAAACACCCACCACAATGCCTAAAATTACAAATGTTTGCAAGAATGTGTAGAAATGGAAACTGTCACGCACTGCTGGTGGACATGTAAATTAGTAGGAGTACTTTGGGAATCTGTGTGGCAATATCTGCCAAAGTTAAATATTCACCTGCCCTATGATAGCAATCCTATTCCTAAGTATATGCTCTGAAAAATTAGTGCATAGTTCTGTCAAAAGACATGTAGAATAATATTCATAGCAGCATTATTTATAACAGGCAAAAGTTGAAAATATAAATGTCCATCAAGAATAGAAAAAGTTGTAATATCCAATGAAATAATACTCAGCAATAAAAGAAGAATAAATTACATGATGGATGAATCTTGCATATAGAATACTGAGTGAAGAAAGCCACACACAAAAGCCACACTGGGCTGGGTGCAGTGACGCACGCCTGTAATCTAGCACTTTGGGAGGCCAACGCAGGAAGATCACTTGAGCCCAGGAGTTCGAGACCAGACTAGGCTACATGGCGAGACCCCATCTCTACAAGAAATAAAAAAAGCAGCTGGCATGGTGATGCTTGCCTGTGGTCCCAGCTACTCAGGAGGCTGACGTGGGAGGATCACTTAAGCCTGGGAGGGCAAGGCTGCAGTGAGCCATGATTGTGCCACTGCACTCCCGCCTGGATGACACAGCAAAATCCTGTTTTTTTTTGTTTTTTTTTTTTTTTTAAAAAAGGAAACTGTCTGATTGAATTTATGTGAAATTCAAGAACAACTGAAACCTAACCAATTATTGTAAGAGCCAAAATGAAAGTTAACACAGGGGACAAGGGATATGAATGACAGGAGACACAATGAAGACTGTGGGGATTTGGAATGTCCTGTATCTTGACTTGTGTGCTGGTTCACCTGGGTGTACATGTAAAAATTCATCAGATTTTATCATTAAGGTTTGTGCACTTTAGGCCGGGCACTGTGGCTCACACCTGTAATCCTAGCACTTTGGGAAGCCAAGGCAGGTAGATCACCTGAGGTCGGGAGTTCGAGACCAGCCTGACCAACATGGAGAAACGCTGTCTCTACCTAAAATGCAAAATTAGCCAGGCGTGGTGGCGCATGCCTGTAATCCCAGCTACCTGGGAGGCTGAGGCATGCGAATTGCTTGAAGCAGGGAAGCAGAGGTTGCGGTGAGCTGAGATTGTGCCACTGCACTCCAGCCTGGGAACAAGAGCGAAACTCCATCTCAAAAAAAAAAAAAAAGAAAAGATTTGTGCACTTTTACCGTATACATGCATTATGATATCTAGATGTTTAAAACACAATGGGAGCATAGAGAAAGAAGTACCTAACTCAGAGTAAAGAAATCCTGGCAGGCCGGGCGCGGTGGCTCAAGCCTGTAATCCCAGCACTTTGGGAGGCCGAGACGGGTGGATCACGAGGTCAGGAGATCGAGACCATCCTGGCTAACGCGGTGAAACCCCGTCTCTACTAAAAAATACAAAAAAACTAGCTGGGCGAGGTGGCGGGCGCCTGTAGTCCCAGCTACTCGGGAGGCTGAGGCAGGAGAATGGCATAAACCTGGGAGGTGGAGCTTGCAGTGAGCCGAGATCCGGCCACTGCACTCCAGCCTGGGTGACAGAGCAAGACTCCTTCTCAAAAAAAGAAAAAGAAAAAAAATCCTGGCAGACTTCACTGGGAATGTTTGAACTGAATCTTGAATAGGAGCTTGTCCATAGAGGGTCACCAATCTCCCATGCAAAGAGCACCACAAAATCCTAAGAAATTTGGTGAGAGTATGGTGCAAGATGATAGTGGCCTGGGGCTTGAACAAAACAGTTAGGAGGCTGAGTGTGGTGGCTCACACCTGTAATCTTAGCACTTTGGGAGGCTGAGGCGAACACCTGAGGCCAAGAGTCAGAGAGCAGCCTGGCCAAAATGGCAAAACCCCGTCTGTATTAAAAATACAAAGATTAGCTGGGCATGGTGGCAGGTGCCTGTAGTACCAGCTACTCAGGATGCCGAGGCGGGAGGATTGCTTGAGTGTGGGAGGTGGAGCTGGCAGTAAGCCGAGATCGCGCCACTGCACTCCAGCCTGGGTGACAGAGTAAGACCCTGTCTCAAAAAAAAAAAAAAAAAAGTTAGAAGTCTAGTACAGGAACCATGCCACACGTCGAGGCAGCCAAGGACAAGGTAAGGAGAGTGATGAGGAAAAAGGGGTGGCTGCCCTGCTTGGTGCTGTTCTGCCAAAGAGCCCAGATTCTTTGCGGGGTGGCAGATGAGGACAGGAACAGCTGGGGTGTGGAAAGCGTTGCTGCCTGGGGAGAGCGGAGGGTGAGGTGTTTCTCACGGGTGCATCCAGTGACTCATCAGGACCGTGGAGCTCATGAGGCCTCCTGTTTCCTGCCTTAGAATCACATGGAAATGAGCAGAGGGTGGGTCATCAGGACAGGGCTCTCCGAGGAGCGGAAGCGCCTTCAATGCAGGCTGTGGGCAGGGGCGTGGGCGCACACACACGCCTGGGTGACCTCTGCGTATATAGAGAGCCTCCCTGGCCCTGCTGGACAGAGTCCTGGAAAGACAACATCAGGTCCAGCCCCGGGGCTGCAGGAGCGGAGCCCCCTCTGAAGAGGCAGCCTTGCTGCAGGTTCTTTCTCTCCCATTCTGAGCCTGGACAGCAGATGCAGGTAAGCAGAGATGAAAGGGTGAGGTGACGGCCAGGGACAGCGCAGCCTCACAGACGAAAGTGCACGTTTCCACTCCAGCGGGCCTGGCTCTGCAGCTTGGCGGCTGTGTGACTGCGCAATTCACTTACCTTCTCCTTTTGCCTCAGTCTGTCAACTTCCGGCCTTTGCACCCAGGATACTCTTCCCTGCCTAGTACCTCACTGTCCATCAAGTGTGGGCATGGGCAGCCTTTCCTGCGGGAGGCTTCGTTTTGCTTCTGCCAGATAGGATTCGGTTCCTCCATGTGCTTCCATGACGCCTTAAGTTGGATGCCTCTGCCTGGTACTTACTGCAACCAGCGGCGAATCCAGCGAGTCTGCAGCAAACTCAATCCTTGCCTTCTCGGGGGAAAGATTCAGCTGAGGGGCAGAAGTGGGTTTAAGGCAGAGAGAGAGGCCGAGGCAAGTTTTAGAGAAGGAGTGAAAGTTTATTAAAAACTTTCAGAGCAGGAATGAAAGGAAGTAAAGTACACTTGGAAGAGGGCCAAGTGCGCGACTTGAGAGACCCAAGCGTGCTGTTCAGTCCTTGACTTGGGTTTTCTACATGGGGATGGTTCCGCAGTCTCCATCTCTTCTCCCCTGATCTTCCCTTGAGGTGGGCTGTCCGCACGCCCTGAGTCTGCCGCACAGGCACTTGGGAGGGGGCGCATGCGCAGTGGGGTTACTGAAGTCCTGCGCATGCTCACTTGAGGCGTTTTGCCCTTACCAGCGGAGAGGCGCTAGAGGACCTTCACGAACCAGCTAAACTCCGCCATTTTGCTTCTTAGTGCACCTGCTGGAGCGCTGACGCCCAGCCCCTGAGCTCTTATCAGGAAGCTGCTGATCACCAGGTTCAGGTATTTTCCATCTGTTGGGAGACTGCCTTTCCCTGACGCTGGCTGTGACCAATTATTATTTTAGAAAGACAGAGTAACAACTGCCTGACCATCCCCTCACAGTCACCTGACGTTACTGGGGTCGGGGCCTTCCCCGGCCCTGCTCGTGTCTGCTCTAACACTCACCACACTTCATTAGGATTGCTTTTTGGCCAGCCTGACCCACATGGTGAAACCCGTCACTACTAAAAATACAGAATTAGCTGGGGTGGTGCGTGCCTGTAATTCCAGCTACTGGGGAGGCTGAGGCAGGAGAATCGCTGGAACCCGGGAGGTGGAGGTCGCGGTGAGCCGAGATTGTGCCACTGCACTCCAGCCTGGGCGACAAGCGAAACTCTGTCTCAAAAAACAAACAAACAAACAAACAAAAAACCAGAATTGCTTTTTGCCTTAGCTGCGTCCCCAGTAAACTTTAAGCTCCTCAGGAAAAGGGATTACATCTTTTTCATCATTATATCCCTAGCCCCCAGCAAGTGCCTGTCAGGTAATGATCACTTAATAAACATCTGACTGAAGAAAGAATGAAAGAAAAGGCTTGCTAGGTGGCGAGGGAGATCCACAGGGGTAGAGAATGTGCGTTCTCTTCCTCCATGGAATTGAGCTGATCACTTCTGTTGTTGCCCTGACATCTAGCCGATGACTTGCTCACCTAGCCAGGACCTCAGGACAGAACAAGGAACTCCCCAACAGCCTGGTTTTAAGGTTTTACCTTCTGATCTTGCTTGTCTCTTCAGATATCAAATTAGCCCACCTCTTTGCTCACCTCCTGGTTCACATTTTTTGGAAGCGTTTCTCCAAATGTTATGATTTCTAGGGGGAATAAAGTCAGGAAGAGGAGGTGAAATTCACACGACGGCAAGCGCTTTTAGTGTTTGATTGGCGAACAGCCAGCCTCTGAATTCCACTCATCCAAAAGCCATGCTCCACCTGGTAGTTTTCCCCTCGTTGTCCATCATTTTTAGTTTCCCCTTTAAGACTTTTCTGAGCCGGGCGCGGTGGCTCACGCCTGTAATCCCAGCACCTTGGGAGGCCGAGGCGGGTGAATCACCTGAAGTCAGGAGTTCAAGACCAGCCTGGCCAACCTGGAGAAACCCAGTCTCTACTAAAAATACAAAATTAGCCGGGCGTAATGGTGGGCACCTGTAATCCCAGCTACTCAGGAGTCTGAGGCAGGAGAATCGCTTGAACCCAGGAAGTGGAGGTTGCAGTGAGCGGAGACCAGGACATTACACTCCAGCCTGGGCAACAAGAGTGAAACTCTGTCTCATAAAAAAGAAAAAAAAAAGAAAAAAGACTTTTCTGAAGGGAAAGTTTGTGTAGATTGTCAGGGGGTTGATGTTGGTGAAGTGTCTAGACAGGCCTTTCTCAAAGGTGGTGTGATTTCAAGGCACTAAATGCGTTCCTGCACTAGGGCGTCTCCTGGCCCTATGATCTAGAGCGCCCGCTTGAGAGGCCATCACACACCCATCTTTCCTTGGGCCCCCGTCAGTCATCTGAGTGGGCAGTGGGTTAAAGTTGAGAGTTGCTGACACCCTGGGTGGTTAATTTGCCTCAACACAGAATTACACACTGAAAGCCT